TGGGCTCTTGCTCTACTCTCCAAATGAACTTGAACAGTGTGCCAAATTGCACCTTTCTTTCCCCAGGTACCCAATATCTCTACAGTGTGTTAAAGACCCTAGATTGATAGGTAGGTAGGTAGCTAGATAGCTAAGTCGGTAGGTAGACAGACAGATTTCTTCATGATGGAGTCCTGGTAGGTTTTATCTTTTTGGAAATTCATAACCATTCTTTGGTATCTACTTGCCATATGATTATCGTGGGCTGGATTTATTTTTATTTCTATGGGATCAGTTATACTGTGTCTGCCTTCACTTCGTCACTTGATTTTAGTTAGTCTTTATCATTCTGGCTTCATTAGACATACACCTGTTGATTTTAGGGGGTTTTCTGAACACCAACTGTTTCTATTGTTGATTTTTCCTATTTTTGCTTTATTCTATAGTTTTCATTTCTGTTTTACGTTTCAATTGCCTTTCTTCTGCTAATTTTGAGCACATAGCACATAGGGTGCTTTTCTTCATTTTCTGAGATACAAAAACATGATTTGTACTACACCAAGAGATGCTACAGAATTCTCTACTAAGCTATGCTGTCAGTTCCTTGTGTGCAAGTTTATGTGTCCATGGAAGAAGCAAGTCCTGATGATTTCTTCTTAGCTGTCTTCCTGATATTCTGATTGATTTTAAGGTTCTATATTAGAAGTTGTCAGTCCTTCATCTGAGAGTAGTACCCTGGAATGATTTTACTTTTCTGTTATTTGATCTCAGTCAGCTATATTTTCACATGGTACCAAGACATTCCTGCTAAAGTCATGCATTGACGCTTCATTCCAAAAAGGGTCATGAGTAGATATAAACACAGTTCCCTTGAGAATGTACACTTAATCACAGACTGGAACAAGGTTGGGGAGAGTGAAGGCCAAAGGTATCTGGGGACTCCTTCCCAGAGAATGATGATGAATGTAATAAATATGGGGAAGTCTTTTATCAAAATGTCAACCTTATTACACACAGGAGTATCCCTAAGGGAGAGAATCATTATAAATATATTGAATGTGGGAAAATTCTTAACCAGTCTTCCAATGTTGGTGATCATCAGAGGATTCATGTGGGAAGAAACCATTGCAGAGGTAATCAACCTGGGAGCATGTTTAGTCATTCATCAAGATTCAGTACAGGTCAGACAACTGGTACAGGAGAGGAAAGTTACATAGGTAACGTATGTGGCAAAGCCTTTGACCACCAGCAACTGCATACTGGACAGAAACCTTACGAATGTGAAGAATGTGTCAAGGTCTTTAAATTGTCTCAACCCTTATTCAACATAAATTAACTCGTACTGGAGAGAAACCTTACCAATGTAAGGAATGTGGCCATGTCTTTAACCAGTTCTCCACCCTTACAGGACATCAAAGAATTCATACTGGAGAGAAAACTTACCAAGAAAAAGAAGGTGGCAAGTCCTTCATCTGGCCCTCCTCCCTTTCAGGACATCAAAGAATTCATACTGTAGAGACACCGTACAAACTTCAACGATATGGTAAGACCTTTCGGCATCATTCACAACTTTCTGAACATCACACGGTTCATGCTGAGGAGAAACCTTACCAATGCAAAGAATGTGGCAAGGCCTTTGTGAACTTCTCAAACTTGACACAACATCGCAGAATTCATACTGGAGTGAAACCTTACCAATGTAAAGAATGTGGCAAGGCTTTTGGGTCCTTCTCAAACTTGACACAACATCGCAGAATTCATACTGGAGTCAAACCTTACAAACGTAAAGAATGTGCTAAATCTCTTATCTGGCACTCAGGCCTCAGGACACATGACCGAGTTCATAGTGGAGAGAAACCTTACCAATGTAAAGAATGTGGCAAGGCCTTTAGCTGGCTCTCAGCCCTTACAGTACATCACAGAAGTCACCCCGGAAAGAAACATTACCAATGTAAAGAATGTGGCAAGGCCTTTAGCTGGCACTCAGCCATTAAGTTACATCAGAGAATTCACAGTGGAGAGAAACCTTACCAATGTAAAGAATGCGGCAAGGCCTTTAGCCAGAAATCACACTTTAAAGGACATAGAATAATTCATACTGGACAGAAACCTTACCAATGTAAAGAATGTGGCAAGGCCTTTACCTGGTCATCAGTCCTTAAGATACATCTCAGAATTCATAGTGGAGAGAAACCTTACCAATGTAAAGAATGTGGCAAGACCTTTTACTGCCCATCACATCTTGATGTACATCACAGAGTCCATAGTGGAGAGAAACCTTACCAATGTAATGAATGTGGCAAGACCTTTAACAAGAAATCATACCTTAAACAACATAGAGTAATTCATACTGGACAGAAACCTTACCAATGTAAAGAATGTGGCAAAACCTTTAACTGGCAATCAGCCCTTAAGGCACATCACAGAATTCATAGTGGAGAGAAACCTTACCAATGTAAAGAATGTGGCATTGCCTTTAGCTGGCTCTCAGCCCTTACAGAACATCACAGAATTCATACTGGGGTGAACACTTACCAATGCAAAGAATGTGGAAAGGTCTATACACGATATTCAAACCTTAGCAGACATCATAGAATTCATACTGGAGTTAAACCTTACCAATGTAAAGATTGTGGCAAAGCCTTTAACTGGCAATCGGCCCTGAAGGCACATCACAGAATTCACAGTGGAGAGAAACCTTACCAATGCAAAGAATGTGGCAAGGCTTTCATCCGGCCCTCAGCCCTTACAGTACATCACAGAATTCATACTGGAGTGAAACCTTACCAATGTAAAGAATGTGGCAAAGCCTTTAACTGGCAATCGGCCCTGAAGGCACACCACAGAATTCACAGTGGAGAGAAACCTTACCAGTGCAAAGAATGTGGCAAGGCCTTCATCCGGCCCTCAGCCCTTACAGAACATCACAGAATTCATACTGGAGTGAAACCTTACCAATGCAAAGAATGTGGCAAGGCGTATCCGCGACAGTCAAGCCTTACCAAACATCACAGAATTCATACTGAAGACTGACTTTACCAATGTAATGAATGTGGAAAGACCTTTTCCCCCGAGGCACATCTTAATGTACATCACAGAATCCATCTTGGAGAGAAAGGTTACCAATGTCAAGACTGTGGGAAGGCCTTCTCCCACCAGGCACATCTTAATGAACATCACAGAATCCATACCAGAGAGAAACCTTACCAATGTAAAGGATGTGGGAAAACCTTTCTTCACTGTTCATCCTTGACTTATTAACATAGAATTCATACTAGAGCAAATCTTCTAAATGTTAAGACTGTGACAGAATTTCTAAGGATTCCTCAACTCTTATTCCACATCAGATAATTCATACTGAAGAGTAATGATACCCAATGATACCCATTGGAAATTGTTAAGATAGTAAAGCAATGCTTTACAAGTAAACCCTGATTCTTCATCAGAGAACATATACTGGAGATGATCTTACCAATACAAAGAATTAAGCAAGCCCTTTAATCAGTACTCAAGCCTCATCCAATATCACAGACCTCATACTGCAGAGAAAACGTACAAAGGATGTGGTAAAAAACGTTTCAGACTGCTCAAGCCTTACTCATTGCCACAGTTCCTGTTGCACAGAGACATTACCAATGTAATGAATGTGGCAAACCTCTAGCTGGATCTCACAACTGCCTCAGTATCATAGTTATGATACAAGAACAAAAGTATAACATGTAAAGGGAGTGGCCATGCCTTTAACTGGAATTCAGTCATGACTCAGTATCCCCAAATGCCTACTTGGGGATAATGTATGAATAAGGAAAGACCTTTTTAAATATACACTTCAGAAAACAAAACCATACAGAGAGGAAAGTAACCTGAAAGATATAGTTAGTCATCTAATTACCTGAACATCAACTGTCAATAAACGTCACAGAATTCACAGTAGAAAGAAGTACATTGGCCACTCTATTCAGACATTATCTCCATAAAAATACTTAACCATATGGGATAAAACAAAGTTGAACACTTAGATATCGAATATGCAGGTATGCCTGAAAATAGACACGGGGCTGTTTTTTGCATAGGAATAAGTAATTTCAACGTGCTTTTGTTTTACCTTGGCCCTCTTTAAGATGTTGACTAGCAAGTAATACTGTATTTGTGTGCCCTCAAATCACTTCAGACAATTCATTGATTCCCAGTGGGTGTTGAAAGTATGTGGCTGATTTCCTGCATCAAAGATATCAGATGCCCTTCCCTCGTAGGTGGGACTCCTGCATACCTGATCTTCCATGGAAGATGAAGGACAATATGATGTAGAATCTATGAACAAACTTAAATAGAGGTGTCGTTTATGTTTCTAACACTGATGTAAGTTATTATGAAATGGGTTTTCAGAACATCATTCTTGAACATTTATTAAAACTAAAAACGTTTCTGAATGTTACAAATAAAATGTTTTGTTTATTGGTTTTGTGCAGTCCAGGCACATACTGAGACAAGTTCTTAACAGATGTAGTTAGAAGCAGAGAATACCAGTTGATGTGGTTGAAAGGAAGAAACCTTCACAGATATCAGAAAGAGAGTAAGTAACTCTTTCCTAACATGGCATAGGATTGTACACTGACATCTTTTAAGAATTACCTCAGGTCTCAAAGTGTTCTGGTATGCAAAATTAAGGTGTTAACAAAATAGATTTTAAAAAGATGTCTCCTTAATGACTCTTGGTAACCACAAAGCAAAACGTGTAGTAGATACACAAAACCCAAATCGAAAGGAATCAAAGTACACCACTTTAGAAAATCAACAAATCACAAAGAAAAAGACCAAAGGGATAAGAAAGGGGCAAGTAATTGTACAATAGCTAAAAACATGGAAAACAATGACAAGAATAACTCCATCCATACCTATGTCAATACTTACTTTAAATATAAAGGGACTAAATTCTCCAACCAAAAGATACATTGGCTGAAAGGGAAGAAGTACACAAACTAAGGATACGTGCTGCCTTCAAGAGACTCACTTCAGCTGTAGGAACACACTCAGGCTGAAAGCACAGTTGTGGAAAAAGATCTTCCATGTCAATGGAAAACAAAAGAATGTGGAGTAGCCATGCTTACATCAGACAAAATGGACTTTAAGCCCAAGACTGTAAGAAGTCACAGTGCATGTCCTTACAAAATAGAGGGGTCACCTCATGCAGCGTTTTTAGTTATGTGGTGTTTGGCAGAATGGCAATAAGGTGTTCACCCATTTTTGTTTGGGAAGGACACCAAGAGTGTGTTCGTGTAACTCATGTACTGTTTAACACTTTGAAAACCAACACATTTTTCCATTAATGTTGGTGG